GTCGTACGGGCCCGCATTGCACTTCTCAACAAGTGTCTCAATGCTTTCAACAATGGGACCATCTGAATCATGGTGTTAGTAGGCAATCATGTGATCCTTACCCTTATTGATTCCAGCAATAGTTATGGTTCATGGATGGAAAATTTTCCCATCAAGCTGCTCTGCTCTGCTTTCCGTTCCTTCTGTCTAAGTTACTTTTGCTAATGGACAGTCAATGTAGTCCAACTTTGAAGTCCGCAATGGTGGGCTCAAGGTCTCACATTCAAGGCACGAATGTGGATGCTTCATTTAGGTGCTTATGACGTAGTGTTAGGCATAGTTTGCCTCAAATGCCATAGCCCCATGACATGTGACTGGGATGAAAATCTATGTAGTTTAGGTGTGGTGCATGGGAAACGTTTATGCAGAGTATGCGTTCCCATTTCTCGTCGAGTTGTTGGACCACGCCTTGGCAGGGAATGATATTTGGGACATGGTGATTGTCGATCAACAATCTCTCATGGTTGTGTCTACTCCAGGCACCACATCTACAGATTTGGTAGCATTGCTCGAAGAAAACCAGTATGTGTTCAAGCAACCCACTGTCTACCACCTCATCGGGTTTATGATCATGCCATTACCTTGTAAGCCGGTCATACTCCGCCTGATTCCCAACCTTATTGCTATTCATGGCAACAAAAAGATGAAACTGAGCGTTAGGTCGCAGAAATGATCGTCTTTGGTGGCGCACAGACTAGTATGAGTCCTAATGCTTTACCTATCCTACTGGTCAAGAAGGACAACAACTGTCATTTCTGTGTTGATTACCATAAGTTGAATACAATCACGGTAAGAACAAATTCCCCTACACCATAGTGCATGAACTGCTGGATGAGTTGGTGGGTCACAATTCTTCTCTTAATTGGATTTGCATGTGGGGTATCACCGGATTCTCACGAGGGAATTAGATGAAGACAAAACGCCATTCAACACACTAGCATGTCACTTTCTATTCCGTGTACACCGTTTGGTTTGACTAAAGCATGCGCCACATTTCAATGTGTGATGAAGAATATTGTTGCTCCTCACATAAGAAAGTTTGTTGTTGTCTTTTTGGACAACATACTTATTTATAACCCATCAGACGGTCCCAAACTTTTTTTTTTCAGAAATTGGTACTTAACTTTGCTACCTCAACAACCTATCATCCTCAAACTGATAGACAACCGAAACTAGCGAGTCAATGCCTGGAGCAATATCTGCTCTGTGCGGTGCATGACCGTCCAAAAGCATGGAAATGTTGGCTTCCAATGGCGGGGTTCTGGTACAATTCATCTTATCATACATCATTTGGGTGCACTCCTTTTAAACCCCTCTATGGTGTGAAGCCCAAATTTGGTACCATGCCCATCGACAATGGTGATCTACGTACTTCATTGGCAGAATTGGCTATCGGTCATGAGGATTTATTACTGCACTTATAAGAACACCTTTGTTGGGCTCAGGAGCTCATTAAATCTCAGGAAGATCGACACTGCCATGACCGGAAAGTCGTTGTCAGTGAAGATGTGTTGTCGAAGTTACATCCATATACTCAATCATCTCTGGTTAATGGTCTTTGCCATAAGCTAGGCATGGATTTTTGTTTTTGATCATTCAAGGTGACAGAGCGCCGCAGAGCAGTGGCGTATAGATTGAAGCTACCAGCAGCAAGTCAAATACATCCGGTGTTCCATGTTTTACAGTTGAAGCCTGTCACGGCAAATTACACTCTGGTATTCTATGAACTTCCATAGCCATTTGATCTATCGGTGATTGCCTTACAACTCGAAGCAATCCCTGAGTCAACTCGTCAGGAAGGGCAATGCGGTGATTCCATGGATCAAAGCGCAGTGGCGGGGCATTTCTCGGGAGCACGACGTGGGAAGACTACAATATGTTGCACACTCAATTAACTCTAGCGACCATTTGGGATGAGGCTCTGTGTCACGTCCCCACCCACAACTATGCTTCAGGTGTTTTTTTAGAAAAGGAGGATTACCCCTGGCCTCTGCATCTGGGCGATTATGCAATCATTTTATTAATTATTCTCAGAGACCTTACAAAGCATTACATCAGTAAGCCTGAAACCACCATCTAGGCGACACTTGTCGCTGCTCCTATCCCCTTGATGCAGGGTGTCGAATGTCCGAGCCTAATACCAAACAGACATCGCACCAAAACCTAACATCTAATGCCGAATGCCTTATCCCAGCCACATGCCAGGAATGGGTCACACACCGGTCCGACGCACTCACTGAGGCTACCGCCACCGTCATCCACCTTTTTTTCGAAAAGGGGGGATTCCCCGGCCTCTGCATCAGAACGATGCATACGGCCATCTTATTATCAAAATAAAATAATGCCAACATGGTTCCAAAGGTCTCCACAAGTCATAGAAAAGCACAAAAAGCTCACACAGAGCCAAAAGAGGCTAGAAACATCAACTAGCCAAATCAAGATGCCACAACCGGCTGGCTAAACTAGATAGGGATACTAAATGCCTATCCTATTACATGACCGCCATCCAAACCGGTTGAAGATATTCCGAGCTACCATCTCCCAGCGGAAAGACCCAGTAACCAAATGCCCCCTGGCCTCCGTCTGGGTGAGTAGCGACCACGAACGGATCAGTGCCGTAGTCCGGAATAAGACCTGCAAAAAATGTATACATGATATTCTGTTAAAAACCAAATCGTTTCTGCAATTCCAGATAGTCCACATCAAAGCACAAACTCTAACCCGAATATGTCTCGCTAAGTTAGGCTCAATCCCATTAAGCCATGTCCCAAATAACGCATTAACAGAATTCGGGGGTTTGATATTAAAAGCAATGTGGACCGTCTGCCAAAGTACCTTGGCCAGCGGGCAATCAAAAAAGAGGTGTTTAATAGTCTCATCCCGATCACAGAAACTACACCTAGTAGGTCCTGTCCAATTACGCTTTATCAAGTTATCCTTAGTTAAAATTACTTGTTTATGAACAAACCACATAAACACTTTTATTTTCAAAGGAACTTTGACATCCCAAACATGTTTGGACGTAGGAATGGAGTTCGAATTAGCCGCCGTCATCCACCTAACCATATTCAGAGCAGGTACTGACAGAAAAACCTTGCCAAGTCAGCTGTCGACGCCACCATGGCGCCAGACAGCGCCACCGCCCTACGCGAGGCCATCACACCACGTCCAGCATCGAGACCCCGCTGCTCCATGCCGCCGAGACCCGCCGTCGTCGACACGAGAGAAGGCACGCCACACCACCTCACGCCTCTTCCATCCGGCGCCGCTCCACAAACGATGCCCCCAAGAGGGAACACGACACCACAGCGCCGCCATCGTTAGATCCGGTGATCTTGGCGGCGGCGGAGCGCGTCTTGAGCGTGGAAGATGAACGCGGATCTGGAAGCAATAGAGTGCAAGCTTCCTCGCGTTCCTGCAGTATTAGATCGGACCCCACGTGTGACGGATGACCAACATTAGATCGGACTCCACATGTCAGGGAGTGCTAGCGCCAGCTGGATAGCCAAGTGGTGTGTGCGCGCGGCCTGTCACCATGTCTATCCAGTAACAGGCGAGCGGGAGATTCTAAGATGTATGAAGATGTCTAATTCTCCCCATGCTCTCTAGTTTTCTCTCCTTTTGTCCCTCAATTAGCTAATTATCCTTTCGACTACGTGAGATCCATCCCACAGCCTAACATGGATCCTTGGCACATCTTTAGGATCGACAGCTGGAATCTCTCACATACACAAAAATGAATGGAAGAACAAGTTCAGGTAGCACAAATCGTCAATGCAGCATCGATGGTTTAAGCAAAGATCTGTAAATATGATATCGTACAAGAGTAACATGCCCAAGCACCAATCCTTTTCTAGGAATGTATTTTTAGCTAGTAAAACACCACATACACGATGATCTGTGATGCCCGTTACTTTCGACCGCAACGTTCTGTTGTGAACCAACAGTCTGAAAATTCTCCAAGTTTCCCCTCAAAATGAGAAACAGTAAGTTGATCGCAAAACTCCTTCAAACCAAGACTTCTCCAGATTTTCCCCAAAATGAGACCCCCACCATCAAGATCAGACACCACCACCTGTTAGATTTGAGAAACCTGAAAACAAAATTAGAACATTAGGGACATTTGAACAGACACGTCAAGAGAATGACTGAATGAGTGATATGGAGAAGAAATTCAGAAAACAGACACGCTACGTCGCTACTAGAAATCCATCAATGTCTTTCTCAAACTGATATAAAACAGCGAGTTATCATCCAAACTCGTTTATTTTCCATCCAAGACTTGATTGGAGAGAAAAGTACACCACAAATTTTAATAAAGATCAAGCTTCAGTTTCAGGATTTAATCAGTTGGTCATACTGTTTTAGGAAAAAGGGAAGACAATGGTATCATGATGGCAAGGCTAGATATACTTCAGGTTCTAATGAAGTGGCGACCAGACGAACAAGGGCAGGCATCCTTTATGCCTTTTCGTTCAGGAACACTAATACACCTGGATGGAGGGATGTATAAGTTCATTCTGACACAGTAACCTGGCAAGCTGCTGCCGCAATAGTATATCCCTCACACACAAAAATGAATGGAAGAAGTTCAGGTAACACATAAAAACCATTCTATGGAGCAAGTACGTTTCTAGTTTTGCCAGCAAATATCACTAGTTGCATTGACACACCAACGAGAAATTGGTATTAGGGATAGCCAGATGTTGGACAATTAATACACAGAAAACCAGTTGAAAATAATTGTAGTAATTGGCAAATATGTGCACGACGTTTGCTTTTAGTCCATAATAAACTGCATGAATGGCGTAAGAGATACTACTTGCAACAAGAATGCAGCATCCTAAATATGTGAATGGATGATACCAAGAACAATGGATCAATAAAGAAGTGTATCAGCTAAAACGAAATGACGAGAGAGTCATCAGCTGGTAAATTGGTACCTTCGACCTTCATCTCTTCTACTGGATGTCTGAGCGAACCAACACGTCTGACAGAGTCTTGTGTTTCCCGGTGTCCTTACCTGAAAAGGGTTAATTTGATCAATGTACAAGAATTTGACAAACAGCAACACTAGCACAACAGAATTACAAGTTTACAACAGTATAGATTTCTGTGAATTGCATACAAGAATTAAACAGCAAAAAAAGCTTTGGTAGTTAGAACAGATTCTCAAGAATTCAGCAGTGTATTAATAACCAATAGAACAACAATAGTTAGAGGATAACACTTGAACGGTGTAGAGGAGTTATTAAAAGGATACAACAGATTTAAATCCATAAGTTGGAGATAAAATCTAGAGCATCACAGTGTAACATGAAAGCAAGCAAAACCTTGCAAAATTTCTATTCAAAGTCTAAATCAATTAAACTACCGTAAATATGTTCAACAGAAAATTCTTTATGAGCAGGACAACAGGAAGAATGACAACAGATGCAAAGATTTATCCGTGCCTACGATCTATATGAGCCTTGCAATACCAATTGCTACCAAACACATGGTGCATATAAATAATTGTTAATAAACATGATGTATCTCTGAATTTCTAGTCATCTGGTCATGAGACAAGCATTATGTCTATTGGACGATTTTGACATAATGATCAACAGATCCAACCACTAGGATAAACAAAATATATTGTGCCGAAGATGACCCACAAAGCACCTCGGGCATTAGGCACCTAAAAATGAAAGTATAACTGAGAAGTATGTAATCTACCTGCAGAAGGGATCCGGCTCGATCCAAGCCACGGAGGAAGAACACATGGCACCGAGAAGTCCCTTCCATACAGATAGCTCCCAATCACCTTCTTCATGTTCATGTCCACGACGATAACGTGTTTCTTGTCAACCGTGAGGTACACCACATTGGCGTTAAGTGGGTCAAGAAGCTCAATTTGTGGCGTCTTCCCCGCCGGTAAGGGCAGCCATGGGTGGCCTCCATCGGCCCAGAGCTTGCTGAGCGCCACCCGGTGCTCCAGTGTCCAGCCGGTGCCATTGTTGTCGAGCACAAAGGAGCTGAGAAGAAACGGTTCCTTTTGAGAGACCTCGACGTATCGCAGCCGCCCTTGGCTTGCATCCACGCGCCGGTACTCACGCCAAGACATCTCGCCATCGGCTTCAGGCAGCGGGCTCCTTGCAGGCAGCACGCTGCCCCTCGGCAGCTCGATGAAGGAGAGCTCCGGCCGATCAATGAACGGGTCGGCGGAGACTGCGCCCCAGGTCACGTCGACCCACCACAGGCGGCCGCCGAATGCCAGCGCCGGCTGGTCTATCTTCATTCGCCGCGCAGACGGGGGTTGGCACGGCGAGACCGCCACGTTCTCCCACCTGCCCTTTTCCGAGAGAAACCGGAGCATGAGGTTCTCCTCCTGCAGCTCGGCGACGGCGAACCTGTCAGGCGGCCCGTGCCCGCGATCGGCCTGGGTGAGGAGGCCCATGCGGAGGTTGAAAAGCGGGGAGACCTCGAACTTGGTGACACGGTCCGGGAGGCGGGTTATCTGGTGCGTGAGAGGGTTGAGGACGAAGCGCGTGACGTTGGGGACGTGGTCGGGGTCGATGCACTTGAGGGCGTCGGTTTGGGGTGGCAGCCGCAGCGGACGGCCGCCCTGCCTGGCGACGATGCGAGCAAACAGGCGCGTCTCCGCGTAGACGACGAGGAGGAGGCCGTCGGCGCTCGCGGCGCAGACGGCGCCGCCATGCCCTTGCACGAAGTCGCCGTCGGGGTCGGGGAGGGGGCCGGTCTTGAGGAGCTGCTCCGGGACGTACACTTCGGAGATGCGCGGTGGCTCGGCGAGGCGCACCTGCGCGCTCGGCGCCCCGACGGTCCACGCCGAGTGGCACATCGCGGCCCACGGGGGGTGCGAGGCCGCGGTGGTGAGGGAGCGGCGGAGGCCGCCGGAGACGGCGGCGGAGAGGCGTAGGAGGTGGCGGGGCGGCATCTCGCGGTCCTGTCGCCGGTCGGTGGCTGCAGGTGGGGATTTCGTTGTGGTGGTGGTGGTGGGGAAAGTGGCTCGGTGCACATGGAGTGGGTGCACGCCGCGTAGATACCAGGGAGCAGGGAGGTGGCAGGACGGAAAGCAGCGTGAAGTTGTTCCACGGGCTACGGCACCGTGATGGCTCACCTGGCCCGCGCGTCAGTTAGATACATTGAGGCCTGGTGCATGGACCGAGTTCTGCGTTATCAACAGCCGTAGCATCGCACAACTGGCTGGACCTCGGACGTCACCATTTTCCCGCCAAAAGTTCACCGGACCTGGTGCTGGGCCTCGTAACTTTATTTTCTGAGATGGCTGGGCTTTTAACTCATACTAGCAAAGCAAAATAGCACGCATTCATTAATTAATGGGTACTCCTTGCAGACATCACTCCAACTTCCTTAGGTTATGACAAATTGCGCGCTGGATGTGCGCCATTTGTCGCAACCTAGGAGTTTTCCTTTTGTTTCGTAGATCCGTTTATTCAAAACGTTTTATCTCTTAGACCGTGCGTTCAAATCTTGAACCGCTTTCGCTGTTGGATTCCTCGCGTCGGATTTTCAAAACTAGATCCCATATTGATAGGTTTTGACAAACTTTTTTCACAAAAAAACTGAATAAAAAAAAATCAAAGAAAAAACTAAACCGGAACACAGTTTTTTTCCTTTCTGAAAGAGGCACGCCCGTGCCTATGACGAAATCACAACCGTGCCTCTCACGGAAGCAATAGCGTGCCTCTCACAAAAGGAAAAAAAATAGAAAATGCATTTTTTTTCTTTTTTGACGCGCCCGTGCCTCTCGCTAAAGCACAACCGTGCCTCTCGCGGAAGCAAAACCATGCCTCTCGCGAAAAGAAAAAAAATAAAAAAACGTGTTTTTTTCGTTTCCGAGGAGGCACGGCCGTGACTCTCGCGAAAGCACAACTGTGCCTCTCATGGAAGCAAAACCGTGCCTCTCGCGAAAGGAAAAAACAGAAAACACGTTTTATTTTCCGTTTCCAAGAGGCACGGCCGTGCCTCTCGCGAAAGCACAAGCGTGCCTCTCACCAAAACTAAACCGTGACTCTTGCGAAAGAAATGCATTTTTTTGCGCAAAAAATTATTTTTTCGAAAATTATTTTTTTGTTGAAAAGCTAGGGAAGACCGGTGGGAAACCAAAACGTCAAAAGAAAACCCGGAAAAAAACAGTTTAAAAAACCAAAAACGCGTGCGAAAAAAAAACAAAATCCGGAGGGAACGCCCAGAGCGCGACACGTGGCGAATGGATGAGAGTGCGTCAAGTGGCACTGATCGTTGCGAGGCTCCCAAAAAACCCAGCAAAAAACAGTTTAAAAATTCAAAAAAGCGTGCGAAAAAATAAATAAAAAATCCGAAGGGAGCGCCCAGAGCGCGACACGTGGCGAATGGCTGAGAGCGCGCCAAGTGGCGCCGATCGTTGCGAGGCTCCCGAAGGAGCGCAACGATCAGCGTCACTTGGCGCGCTCCCAGCCATTCGCCACATGTCGCGCTCTGGGCTCTCCCTTCGGATTTTATTATTTTTTATTTTTTCGCATGCTTTTTTGGCTTTTTAAACTGTTTTTTTCTGGGGTTTTTTTTACGTTTTGGTTTTCCACCGGTCTTCCCTAGCTTGTCGACAAAATAAATTGCAAAAAAAAATCAGAAAAAAACGCATTTTTTTTCTCGAAAGTCACGTTTTCGCGGGAGCCACGGTTGTGCTTTCGCGAGAGGCACGGCCGTACCTCTTGGAAACGAAAAAAAAACAAGTTTTCTGTTTTTTCCTTTCACGAGAGGCACGGGTGTGACTTCGCGAGAGTCATGGCCGTGCCTGTTGGAAACGAAAAAAAAATATGTTTTCTGTTTTTTTTTGCGAGAGGCATGGTTTTGCTTTCGCGAGAGGCACGGTTGTACTTTCGCGAGAGTCACTGCCGCGCCTCCTCGGAAACGGAAAAAAAGCATTTTCTGTTGTTTTTTCTTTCGCGAGAGGCACGGTTGTGATTTCGTTAGAGGCACGGGTGTGCCTCTTTCGGAAAGGGAAAAAAAATCCGTGCTTCCGGTTCAATTTTTTTGTCCGGTTTTTTTTTCTAAAAAAAGTTCGTCAAAACTCAAAATCTATCAACATGGGATCTAGTTTTGAAGATCTCGACGCGAGGAATCCAACGGCAAAAGCGGTTTTAAGATTTGGACACACCGTTTAAGAGATAAAACGTTTTGAATAAACGGATCTACGAAAAAAGGAAAAACTCCCGGGTTGCGACAAGTGGCACACATGCAGCACGCCACTTGTCGCAACCTGGTGAAGTTGGAGTGATCTCCGCAAGGAGTACTCCTTAATTAGTGATTTCGCAAAATAGCCCATGGTTGCAGCGGGAAAAAATACCACAGGTCCCTTAACCAATAATTAATAATTATGACTCAAGATCTTAATAAGTCCACGTCTTTTATTCCAGCATGGCATCTATCTATATCTCGCTCATAGCGAGGCTTCTTCTGTCTCGCTGAAGATTTTCCTGCGTGTGTACAGAACTAGACAGGCCCATTCTTTGAGCGCTCATTTGTTCCTTCGTTGTGCTCGTTCGCTGGTTTGTATCCGCTGCGGTTTTCTTTTTTTGCTTCTGTTTCTTCTTTGTTTTTTCGGTTTATCCAATGATTTTATTCAGTTTTTAAATTTTCTTCTATTTTAACCAGTTTTCTTTCTTTTTACTGGTTTTCTCTGATTTTTTCTTTTCTCTTTGTTACTTTCTTGTTTTTTCACAGATTTTTTGGCTTCTACGTTTTCTTTGTTTCTTTCTTGTTCTCATTGGTTGTTTTTGTTTTTCTTTGCTTCTTTCTTCTGTTTCTTGTTTTCACCATCTTTCTTCATGTTTCTCTTTTATTCTTCAACACATGTCTACACTTTCAATACATATTTGTATATTTTTTGTGCATGTCAGGAATAGTTTTTGTATACATGATTAACATTTTAAAAAATGTATGTTTGATGACTACATTTTTTGTACACATTGTATATTTTTGGTATATGTTAGAATCATTTTTAATAGTACATGTTTTAACATATTTGAAATATATGATTAACATTTTATACGTGATCAACATTTTATAAATTTATATTTTTATGTAAAAAAACTTAATACACGTTCTAAATTTATCGTAGACATGTGGAACATTTTTTAGAAATATTTCACGTTTTTTTATTACATGATTAACATTTTTTAATACATGATTAACATTTTTTTCATATGTATGTTTTGATGTCTACCTTTTTTCATACACATCATACATTTTTCGTATGTTACAATATTTTTTATACATGTTTTATTTTTTTAATACATGATTAATATTTTTCCAGATACATGTTTTTGAACATTTGTTGTTCGTATATGTGTTAATTGTTTTTTTGAAATATATTTTTTCCCAAATCTTACCAATATTTTTTTAAAGTTGCACAAACATTATTTCAAACTTAAGCATTGTTTTTGAAATATTTTTTTAGATTTTTATGAAAATATAACAAAAAAGAGAAAACAAAATCAAGGAACAAAGTAAGGAAACAAACGAACGAAATTTGAAATGCACAGGCAATGCAACTGGGCCGGCCAATTCCCACGTCCCTTCAGGGAGCGGATGCCCTCCCATCTGTGTTGCCACTTATTCTCCTTCTTACCCTCATCAGCGGTGGCCTCAGTGCTCCCACAATCACAATGCATCGGCTGTGGTTATTCCTAAGGCTTCTCTCTCTCTCTCTCTCTACCACGAAACCTGGTATGGGACGGGCGAGTCTTAGTAATCCTTCTTAATGCCGATGTGCTCTCGCACAGGTTCGCCGTAGGGCGTAAATCCTTATAACTGGCCCAGGGAGTCGATATATCATGTCGGCTATGGGTGCCGTAAATACCCTATCGACAGAGGGCTGTCAATCCTTGATCGCCAGGGCGGCGTAAATGCTCATCGGTCATAGGGTCGTATAAACCCTACATGTAGCATATTTTGGGCAAAAGAGGGAATACCTCTTGAGCCAGGGGCAGGGACATTGGTAAACATAGAAGGATGGAAGGACTCGTATCTTAGCAGGCCTCACACTCTTGGATGTGTGATAGGTTGGCCGTTGTTGCATAAAGCTAAGTTAATCTCCCGTGGGTAAAGCAATGCACCTTTACAAAGTGTAATGAATTGTGGCTTGTCACTCCCTGGTCTGGGAAAGATCTAAGAGCGTGGCGGGAAAGGAGTCTATCGGAGATTCTAATAACCCGTGAATTCTGATGACTAAATGTTTTAAATAAAACTTGATGCTATAGATATTTTGTCAAAATCATTGCTGAGACCTATTTGGAATCAGTAGTAGCTAAAGTGCATGTCCACCCCACAATATCTATGAACTTGTTGAGTACCTCTTGTACTCATCCCTTGTACTTTCACCCGTTTATAGTCCCTGTGGAGGAGAAAGGTTAACCGGAGGATCTTGAAGTAGATGAAGAATTCTTCTACATGGAGACAGACTTATCAAGAGGAACCAACGAAGGTGTCAACTGTTGGGGAACGTAGTATTTCAAAAAAAAAAAATCCTACGATCACGCAAGATCTATCTAGGAGAAGCATAGCAATGATTGGGGAGAGTGTGTCCACGTACCCTCGTAGACCGAAAGCGGAAGCATTATGTAACGCGGTTGATGTAGTCGAACATCTTCGCGATCCAACCGATCAAGTACCAAACGCACGACACCTCCGCGATCTGCACACGTTCAGCTCGGTGACGTCCCTCGAACTCTAGATCCAGATGAGGCCGAGGGAGAGTTCCGTCAACACGACGGCGTGGTGACGGTGATGATGAAGTTACCCGTGCAGGGCTTCGCCTAAGCACTACGACGATATGACCGAGGTGTGTAACTGTGGAGGGGGGCACCGCACACGGCTAAGATATTGTCTGTTGTCCTATTGGGGTGCCCCTTGGCCACGTTCATAAAGGAGGGA